CACTATGAAAATGACTGCATGAAGTAAGAGAATCCTTGAGAAACTTTTTAGGACGACTTTGACGAGCGTGTTGGGACAGATGTAACAGTAAGAAAGCACAAAACAAACAGAGGGACAAAAACAGACATGTACAAGCTTTCAGTTTACAACAACATATATTTGACGCCAGCGAAGTCTGCACCAACAACCGTCGGTGGGGAAAGGGGGAACGAGCAAGAGGGAGAAAAGAAGGGAGAGAAGGTTGAGAGGGAAGAAAAGGGGGGAGGGAAGGGAAGATAGCGTTTCCGCATACGAAGCTGATTGACGGCCGAAGGCCGAGGGGGGGTCTAGTTGTTCAAGGTTGTGCAATTGGAGTCCGAGAAAACGCCGGCCTCAGAAACACCAGTTCTGGTTTTGTCAACGAGAGGGATGGGGAAGCAATGTTATTCTTGGTGGTAGTCATCCTATAAGCTTCAATTATCTCCCTCCCATAGCGCTCCCGGTGTCCCCCAACTACTTTGGTCTCGTTGAACAAAGGCGTGCATGCCTGGCACTCCTTACCGTGAACTATAATAGGATGCAATGACCCCTCTGGCTGTGACGCGCATTCAATGTGGTGTTCTCGGAGGCGATCATTTATGCATCGGCCTGTTTGGCCGATATATTCCGCACCGCAGGTCAAAGGAATCGAGTAGACTTTTTCTTTTGCGCATCGAACGAATTGAGAGCCGTGTTTTTTTGCACATGCTGGGGGGGAACTGGCGTTGTTAACCAGTTTGCACATGGAACCCAGTTTGAACCTGCATTTGAAAATGACCTTGGTGCCAAAGCGGGACGCGAGAGACTTGACGCGGTGCGCCACGTTATGCATGTAGGGAATGCAGGCGATCCTCCCGCCCGGAGCAGCCCGTGAGGTGCGGGGAGTTCGATTTACGATGAGCCTCTGCGTGACAGAACTGAGAAGGTCCATCGGGTACCCTGCCTTGAGAAGGCGGTTAAATTGTGTTTTCGCACTCGAGGTTGAGTGGTGACTGCACGACCTGCTGCGTGCAGAGGTGATCAACGAAGTGACCACCCCCGTCTTAACGGACCTGGAATGGGAGCTGGAAAAGGGAAGAACTGGTTTCTCCGAACGTTGCCGAAACGCCCAGCAGATACCCGTCTCAGTCGTATTCAACCTGATGTCTAAGTACTGCAGTCCCTCCTCCGTGGGGTCCTCTCTCTTAAAGTTGAGGCTGCCTGCCGCGCTGAGAAAACAAGGCGAAATAGAATGGACCGGGGTTCCTGTGGGGTGAATTACAAGATAGTCATCCACATAGCGCACAACCTGACATCCGGGCACGATGCTCCGTAGTTCCTCGTCGATTGTCCTATCTACGAAGGAAAGATAGATTTCACTCAGCACCGGTGCCAGGCAAGACCCAATGCATACACCTGATTTTTGAATAAACACTTCTCCGTTCTGCTCAATCATTGTAGAGCGGAGGTAAAGCTGGAGCAACTGGATAAACCCAGACAGTGGAATGCCTGAAGCGTTCTGGAACCTGCACAGGCCGAACTCATTGATGGCCTCATCAACGCACTTAATTAGGAAAGGAATGTCTAAACTATAATACATATCCTCGATGTCGTAAGAAAACACTGACAGTGGAACGGGCGCGTTATGTAAGGGAGTCAAAACCGTAATTAGCTCGTTAGAGTTACGAATTCGGAACGGCTGGGAAGGGGTGAGAAGGGAGAGGTGTTTTTGGAGAAAAAGCGCAAGGGGCTTCTGCCAGCTTCCGCCTTCCGAAACAATGGAGCGGAAGGGTAATTCCGGTTTGTGAGTCTTCGCTGAGAAGAACAGGGATAAGTACTGCTTGGATGGTTTCATGACGGAACTTTTGAGTTTCGGGAGATTAAGCTCGGAGCACAGCTCTTTAACTCTGGACCGAACAGACCCCGAAGGCCGCCCCTTTACTCGACGAAAGTTTTTGTCAAGAGCTTGTTCTACCCTCTGCCGGTACTGGTCCTCACCCATGACGACGAAACCTCCAGTCTTGTCGGCCTCAAGAAGCTTGAGGTCTGAAGATCGGAGTTCATCCACAGCTGACTTGACGGAGAACTTGGTGGAGGGCGCCGGCACAGGGTGGGTGCACACGGATCGCACCGCTGCTCCCAGGAACTCGTGGCGTTCTTTTTCTGGAACCGTTGATGCCACCTGATGCACCGCAGCTAGCTGATCGATTCTCGGCACCTGGGAGTCCGGTGCAAACTTGGGGCCACATGAAAGGGCGGTCTTGGTGTTCTGAGAGAGCTCGACTCCGGAAATATTAATTGGCGGATCAAATCCTGAGCTCGTGTTAGCCCGGCTTGAGGTGGCCACCCCCGCAACACCAAGGGGTGCACGACAAGAATGTCGTGCACCCCTCGGTGTTTCAAGCCCTCGGCTTCCACTCCCACAACTGGTCATCAGGTCACAGGATCATGCAGATATCACGCAAAGAATTGTCTGAAGAGCTCCGACTGACAGCGGCTGTTCTTCCGGGATTCATGACATCGTGCTTCGGACCATCCTACGGCAAGCACGCGTCGTTTATCTTTCTGCAGGAAGCCGCTGCGCAGCTCTTGGAGTCATCCTGGAGGGATGTAATTGCGGGGGTGGCCACCTCAAGCCGGGCTAACACGAGCTCAGGATTTGATCCGCCAATTAATGTTTCCGGAGTCGAGCTCTCTGAGAACACCAAGACCGCCCTTTCATGTGGCCCCAAGTTTGCACCGGACTCCCAGGTGCCGAGAATCGATCAGCTAGCTGCGGTGCATCAGGTGGCATCAACGGTTCCAGAAAAAGAACGCCACGAGTTCCTGGGAGCAGCGGTGCGATCCGTGTGCACCCACCCTGTGCCGGCGCCCTCCACCAAGTTCACCGTCAAGTCAGCTGTGGATGAACTCCGATCTTCAGACCTCAAGCTTCTTGAGGCCGACAAGACTGGAGGTTTCGTCGTCATGGGTGAGGACCAGTACCGGCAGAGGGTAGAACAAGCTCATGACAAAAACTTTCGTCGAGTAAAGGGGCGGCCTTCGGGGTCTGTTCGGTCCAGAGTTAGAGAGCTGTGCTCCGAGCTTAATCTCCCGAAACTCAAAAGTTCCGTCATGAAACCATCCAAGCAGTACTTATCCCTGTTCTTCTCAGCGAAGACTCACAAACCGGAATTGCCCTTCCGCTCCATTGTTTCGGAAGGCGGAAGCTGGCAGAAGCCCCTTGCGCTTTTTCTCCAAAAACACCTCTCCCTTCTCACCCCTTCCCAGCCGTTCCGAATTCGTAACTCTAACGAGCTAATTACGGTTTTGACTCCCTTACATAACGCGCCCGTTCCACTGTCAGTGTTTTCTTACGACATCGAGGATATGTATTATAGTTTAAACATTCCTTTCCTAATTAAGTGCGTTGATGAGGCCATCAATGAGTTCGGCCTGTGCAGGTTCCAGAACGCTTCAGGCATTCCACTGTCTGGGTTTATCCAGTTGCTCCAGCTTTACCTCCGCTCTACAATGATTGAGCAGAACGGAGAAGTGTTTATTCAAAAATCAGGTGTATGCATTGGGTCTTGCCTGGCACCGGTGCTGAGTGAAATCTATCTTTCCTTCGTAGATAGGACAATC